TGACCCAGATAAAGACGAATAGAACCTGGATAGATATGTTCCAAAAACTTGTTATGGAGTAGGTGTTTACTACATGTGTTTCAATAAGAGAGAAAAACCTTGCTGCTAGAACCGTATATTTCATTACCCCACCTCCTCCCCCTCCTCAAAAAACATTTCTTCAAAATATATACCCCTGACCCTCTATACAAAGGAGAAATTCATAAAACACAATTAAGAAAAATCTCAAAGGAGAAGACTGTTTAATCCCACGCTGTTAAAATAAACTTCCCTTTAAAACATATTTTTAGAAAGAATTTAGCTAAAGATTTTAATATGAAATTCAGAGTTTAAATAACAAACAAGCAAATAATTTAATATCACAAGTGGTTTACTGAATATTTCACATCTGTTTTTTTCTTCAGAAAAATGCAAATTGTTTGGAATTGCTTATGAAATATTATCCAATATACATTTTACAATGTAAAATATACAATATACTTTGTATACACTTTATAGTAAGCAGTACACAGTACACTTTATAATATAATATCATTAAACATTATCCCTCTTCAAAAGAATAACCCTGTTTTCAATTCCTTCTTTTGTTAATCTTAATCCACATTCATTTTATCTTGTATTTAGAGTTTATCAGTTTTTGCAGAAGATAAAGAAAACTAAGATATTTGGATAAACCCAGCCAACTGTATTTAATAAACCTTTTAGAACTCCTTTAATATTAATTCATTAGTTCACAAGTTCACAAATCTCGAAATATGTTTTTAATGCTCTCAAAAAACGTGCATCATTTTCTCAATAAAATAAATAGTATTAGAAATTTTGATGAAAATTCATTACTCTCCCTCCTCATGTTTCAAAAAGCTTATAAAAAAAATACCCCAAAATTTTGTATTTTTCCACCTAATTGATTAGGTTTTCAGAGAAAATAAATTATGAAGAATTTAATAACTTTAAAGTTAAAAAAAAAAATATAATTTTCTTCCATTAATATTCTCAATTTTCTCAAACTAACTTTTTTGATGGAACCTTTACAAGAGGAATTCCTCACAATAAAATATTTGAAAATTCAATCTTATAAATGTAAAGTTAAAGAGCGGAATGAACATAAAGTTAAAATGGTTGACTACTCCCGAGTATTAAAGTTTTCTGACAGGAAATGTGTTGAAAGGCAGAAGCCGGAAGAAGGTTGAGATTACAGGAAGAATGTGAGGAAGTGATGTCGTGCAGAAAAGAAAAATAATTAAATTTGCAAGGTTTCACACCAAGAAAAATCTTGGGATCTGACATGAGGAATTAGAAATGGCACAAGGAACTTGAAACAAATGACATAGGACATAGTTTGGTATGATGGATTAGAAACAGTATGAGGGATTAGAAACAGTATGAGGGATTAGAAACAGTATGAGGGATTAGAAACAGTATGAGGGATTAGAAAAGGCACGACTTTAAACAGGGATTAAAAACTGCCGAGAAATTAGAATTAGCAATAGATTAGAATTACCATGAGGGATAATAATTGGCATTAGAAATTAGACACTGATTGAGGTATTAGGAGCAGCATGAGGAATCAAAAATGCTACCGGGAAAATGGCGTGTGGGATTATAAATGCATGAGAAACTAGACACAGCTCCAGAGAATATTAACAGAACTTGACACAGCCTCCTGCCTCAGAGATTAGAAACAGCATAAAAGAACTTGAAATAGCCTCAGAGATTAAAAATAAGCATAAGGAACTTTACACAGCACAAGAGGTTAGAAACAGCATAGGGAACTTCACACAGCACAAGAGGTTAGAAACAGCATAGGGAACTTTACACAGCACAAGAGGTTAGGAACAGCATAGGGAACTTTACACAGCACAAGAGGTTAGAAACAGCATAAGGAACTTTACACAGCACAAGAGATTAGAAACATCATAAAGAACTTTACACAGCGCAGAGATAAGAAACATCATAACGAACTAGACACAGCCTCAGAGATTAGAAACAGCATAAGGAACTTGACACAGCACAAGAGGTTAGAAACAGCATAAGGACCTTGTGACAGCCAGAGAGAATAGAAAAAGTTAAGATCTTAGAGAGAACGCTTGAGGAATAGAAATAGAAATAGAAATATAAAAAGGAGTTAAAAATGACATGAACAATTACGAAATTCATGAAGGATTAGATATGACTTGAGGGATCATTAAAAAAAGAGGGCATGCAACTAGCTGAAGGTAAGTAAAATTTCCTCTAAAAAATTAATCTTATTATGTTTTTTTTTATTTTCTTGAGGTTTATGAAACATACATTTTACAACAACCAACACATTTCTTTCTTTGGATCAAAGTCAAGCTGAACAGAATTTGAAAAGAATTTAAAATTTGATTTAGCTTTCTTCCTTCTCCCTCATCCTTCTAACTGTTCAACCCTGGGAGCAGAGAACGTAACAAATGGAACTATTTAGTTAAACAATAATCAAACTAATGTTACAGAGCTTAACAAAAATTCAAGCCTGGAAATAAATTAGTGAATTGTTAATAACTAGTTATATACAGTTACAAACTTTACATCTTTTTCGAACTATGGCTGATAAAGAATGCATAAAAATCTTATCTTAACAAAATGACTAACTGTAGTTTCTCTATTTTAACAAAAAACAAATTTTCTTCATCCAGTAGCACTATTTTTTATTTAATCTTTTTTCTATAGAAATTTTTTAGTTTTATTTTCTTTAGAGTTAACTGACAAAACTTTACAGATAAATTATTTTACTTCTTTCTTTAGGTAAAAATCTATATAATAAAACAAGACATTCGTATATAATATATATGTTCCCTGTAGCCGGCTAAACAGCTCGACCGAATGGGCTGAACATTTTTGTGGACACTCATGGGTAGCCTGGGGCTAAAAAAAATTGGAATTTTTTTCCACTGGCAACACAGGGACCTTCAGCTAGTAGTTCTTAAATTAATAATCATTATTAAAAATACACATATTCCCCATTCCTTTCTAGAAATACTTCCCTCCTATCTCTTCAGATTTAATATTTTTATTTCCTCCTAGACTTGTCCTCATTAAGTATTTATGAGGGAATGTGAGGGGTTAAACTAAATTTCAAATGTTGGTTTCAACTTTACAATTTTACCAAACAACTTAATAGCAAAGGAAAGGATAATCAGAAAACTGTCTTTTGTAAAAAAGGGGGGTGTCACTAGCAATACAATTAGAAAAAGAAATAATATTAATGAAACTGAATGTTGTTACACATTATGTAACAAAATGTACGTTAGTTTAAGGATGTAACTTAAATGACGACATCAAATTCTTTAAATAAAGAGTTGAAGGCTAATGAATAAACTAATGAATGAACTAATGAATAAACTAATGAATGAACTAATGAATAAACTAATGAATAAACTAATGAATAAACTAATGAATGAACTAATGAATACACTAATGAATGAACTAATAAATACACTAATGAATGAAATAATAAATAAACTAATAAATAAACTAATGAATAAACTAATGAATACACTAATGAATAAACTAATGAATAAACTAATGAATAAACTAATGAATAAACTAATGAAGTAACTAATGAAGTAACTAATGAATAAACTAATGAATAAACTAATGAAAAAACTAATGAATAAACTAATGAATAAACTATCGAATAAACTAATGAATAAACTGATGAAAGAACGAAATATCAAACTAACCTTCTCTGAAGAAAAAGTAAACAAAGTTCTGATCAGCAAAGGATCCGACGAAACTGGGGTTGTTGAAGTACGTAGAGTCAAACTGAGGGGTTCTTAAAGGATCCCTGTACACCAGGGGGTCCACACCCTAGATATATATAAGTAAATACATATATATCTATACGATTCATCGACATATGGTAAAACGACCTAAGGGTAAACAACAAAATTTCATTTAAACTATCTTTTGGTTTTTGACCGTTTGTTTTAAGAAATATATTATATATATAAATAGATAGATAGAAAGATAATAAGATATGTATTTTGTTAAAAAGGGGGTGCAATTCTAAAGCTTTGATTAAAATTGTTCCCATTGTTTAAAAGTGTTTATTGAGTATATATTAGAGTATACAAGTATTTGTGTTAAATATTTGTTACATATATTGCCGCTTGGGTATAATTACACCAATGTTTGATACTTAGAGGGAATACTTGTACCAAGTTTATTAAGGAAGTTTAATATTTAGCATCAAGAGCGATATTATAAAATTTGTTTTAATTTGAGCAGAAATATGACTTAAGTTTTAATCAATTCTTCAATTCTGGAAAATGAGAACTTGAAAAATTCAGAGTTATATTTTTTTTAAATATAAACCTTTTTTTGGTTTCACAAATCAAAAATAATCTTTAAGTCTCCCCCACTCCCCCCAATTTGTTTGCGACTTTTTGAAGAAAATAAAATATGTAAACTTTTATTATTGGATATTTAAATTTTACAATAAAATTTTCTTTAAAAATCAATTTAGCTAATTCTTAAAAATTAGGTTGATATGGTTTCAAGAAACCAGAAGAAACTTAAAGGAAAATATATTTTCTGGAACTTGACTAAGATTAATTTGCATAATTAATTATAAATTTAATAAAGCATGTGTGGGAAAGAGAACAGAATAAAAAAAACGTAAAATGACTTGAATTTTAAGGAATGAGTAGGATATCCTTAAACCTAGATTTGCTGATTTTATTTTCTCTCTTCAAATATCCTTAAATAAGAACTTAGACAGTTATGTTTAATTTTTAGAAGCCTAATTTTTTTCCCGTGAAATAGCGCTAAACTACATACAGTGAACACCAGGAAACTTTTTCAGCATTATTGAGTGTATTTCATGTTCTTACAAAGAAAAAAGAATGCTAGTGTTTTTTTTTTATTTTCACTTAACATGTTGGGGTCTGTTTAGACTGCACAATTACTGTGTCTTATATTCATTTGACTATTTAAAGTCAAAACTTGAGTCTAAAAGTCGCCTTCCTAATCCAGTACAATGCTTCCTAATCCAGTACAATGCTTCCTAATCCAGTACAATGCTTCCTAATCCAGTACAATGCTTCCTAATCCAGTACAATGCTTTTTCTGTTAATCAAGAGGAATTAGATAATTTCTAGGACTGCAAAAGAAATGAAAACTACTTATCCCGGTATTCCAAGCACACAAGTTTTGACCACAAGCTATCTAGTTTAATTTTTGTATTTTTCTTTAAGACTAGATCTGAGATGACAAAACATAAATTGGGGTCGGTTAAGGTTTAGGTAAGAATGATTTATCCTCTCAATAAATCCCCACCTCAACCTCTTTATTACAATCCAATCTAGAAAGAGGGGATTTGACAGGGATACATATATTTTACAATAAAACAAAATTCGGTCTTTTTTTGTGAAGCAATTGAGATTTTTACCGCTAGACTAGGTTCTGGCTTTACCTCTTAATTCCATTTATTTTCCAAACGGGAATTATTTTTTGATTCTGTAGAATACAATCTACGCTTTTACTTTGTTCGTTTCTAGCCCCCACAGTTTCGTTTCCAGCTCCCACAGTTTCGTTTCCAGCTCCCAAAGTTTCGTTTCCAGCTCCCAAAGTTTCGATTCCAGCTCCCAAAGTTTCGTTTCCAGCTCCCAAAGTTTCGTTTCCAACCCCCAAAGTTTAGTTTCCAGCCCCCAAAGTTCAATGTACGCATATTCTAGATTTTTAGGGATTGCCCAAAACCCTTTCCATAGGACAGTAACACTGGGGTTTAAATCTATTCAATTTCTTTTCCAAACGGATTTTTTTTTCCATTCTATAAACTACACTTTTCTATTTTTTTGTTTCAGCTTTTTTCTTCATATCCAGACACCCCCCCCCCATGGAAACCCTTATCTAAAAAAATAAGTATTTTAGGCTTCATTTTTTCAAATCAACTCGCGATGTGGAGAAATGTATTCTTTTATGGGGGGGGGAGGGAGATTTTCCCCCCACAAATGTTGTTGTTGAATACTTTAGCAGGAACAGTATATACCCCTGACCAAAGGGGGGGGGGGTAGGGAATAAAGAACTTTTTATAAGATTAATGTAATTACACTGGCAGAGGGTTTGTAAGGAAGAATAGGATTGGTATTCGACAAAGAAAATTAATCAATTCAGTACACTGCACTCTCAAAATGAGTTCTGTGATTGGAACTTTTATGTTGATATTGTTAATATTGAACGCTTCATCTCGATAACTAATGTGGGAACTTTAAAATTGGAGAATCTACGCAATATCATCAATTAAAGTTATCTCTACAGGGAATGAACATCACGGAATATCGAATAGTAATTAAATTAATCCGTAGGTTGACCTAAGAATAAGATGGAGATTAATGCTTATACTAGATTCACATCACACAAGTTCTCATTAACTATAAGAACTTCAGATTTGATGGAACTTGAACTCATTGGTTAAACCCCTCTTAACTATGTACAACTTCATCAATAAAAAAGAAGAAAATTGGGTGTGCATTATAAAAATCTATTTTACTTGTGGTTCCAGAAATCTATATTTTAGCATGTGTTAAGAATATTTCCTTTTTTCTAATTAAATCATACAACAATTCAATATTTAATTTTAAATTCAATAAATAGTTTTTTCCTCTGTGTGCCGAAAAATTCAATATTTTCTTCATAATTGATTATTTAATGGTGAAGGAAGCTAGAAAGTGGTGGAACAGGGGGAAAATATGCATTATTTACATAATATTTATCCCCTAGGGGGTAAACCTGTGGGGGAATCAAAAGCGTGGGAGGGGGAAAAGAAACCCGAATATAAACTTAGAAATTTCTGTTTCTGTTAAAGGAACAGAAAACCTAGCAAAAAATTAGGTGAAGGAGCCGGGATGGTTTTTTTTATTATCCTACAGTGGTCCTCAGAATAGAGTAGACTACAAGAAGAAATCTATGGTGTATTTTCTGGCTTTTTTTATTATAAAATGATGTTGAAGATCAAGAGATTAATTGTTGCATTGTGGTTTAATATGAAGCACTATGTTCAACGACTAAAAATATAAAATAGCATTTGACTTTCAGAGGATTTAAGTGGCTCGCAAAAATAAAATAATTTATGCTTTTTGGTTTATTATATGTCCCTTAAGTTTGCTTTTATACAACAATACAAATTTTTTTATTCTCTTTCCTCCGTTACGTTTCCTTCAGGAAAAAGTTTGTATTTAATTTAAAGGTTCATAACATAAAACATAAGGCTTTTTGTAGAGTTGTCACTAAGAAGATGAAAAGAGGGAGGGGGAGGAAGTTGTAGTAAATGGTCCAACATGGAATATCTAACGTTACATCCTACCAGTGCCAAGATTGGATAAATTAACCCCTAGCCGTGTCAGCATTTCGTTTAATATTGAACTAACAGAGAGGTATTCATTAGTCAGTGTATTGTGCGATAACCATAACCTTTATAAAGGTTCACATACTTTGGATATTGGATATGCTTACAAAGACGACTGTACTGATTACTGAATTTACTACTCAGGCTTTATTCGTATATTTAGATGGAAGGTAAAATATAAAATTCAATCTTCATATAGATAAATTAAAGTGTTATTTTAAAGCGTAACTGTACTGTACTGTACTGTACTGTACTGTACTGTACTGTACTTATTTTCCTGTACTACACACCTGATAATCAGCTGATGTACCCGCGTACAGTCTATCCCCGTCTAGTACAGCAGTAGAGTTGTGCCGGGGACTGTAAGGACATTTACCAACACCCTTCACCTCATTCGTCATCAGGTAGTTGCCTAAAATTACATTGGGTTATCCATTGACCTAAATTTACATTTTCACTACGGTAAAGGCCTTGTCTGATCAAAAATGATTTTTTAGTTGTTGGTATCATCTATGTAATAAAGCTCTTGTATTTGTGTTTGTAATGCAAGGAAAGTTATTTCAGAGGTGTACGCATCTTTTGTACTGCAGTGTACTGTCACTGGGCGGTAATGTAAACACAAGACGGATGTCGAAGCCTAACATGTGATCCATCTTTCACATAAATAATCAATGAAATATTCTGGTCAAAGGAAACTATTATGTGAATTATCAAAATTATCAAAATTCAATGCTTTTTACCTCCTCGGATACCAAACGAACACTGAGGCATCTATTCTTGTTTACAAATTCCGTCCAGCGAGAACTGGTTTCAATATGTACGCAGAGTATACGCAACTGCAATTAACTTTCCTTGCATTACATTCTTGGTCAAACGAATGGGCTTATGAGCGAACCCTTTAGTAACCCGGGGGTAAAATAGGCTAAAAAAAGTAGAAATATTTTTCGGGCAACGCCGGGCACTTCAGCTATTAACACATAACAAGATAAGACCAAAATAAAAAAAAATCTTGCAAGTTGATCTCAAATGCTCAACCTTTCAAAAGTCATGTATTTAGATAAATAATTGCTGAAATTATACGCAAAACTTTAATTTACCTGCGTCTTCAACATAATCCCTACAAATAGGTTTGTACGCATTTGTTCCACAGATCAAGTAGCGTCCTGCGTCATTCTCGTACTTTTTCAAAACCTGAAATATATCAAACTTAAAAACATCAGCAGAATAATTATTTACAGAAAACAATCAACAATTAAGTCCAAATATTAAAAAAAAGTTAATTTTAGAATTACAAGACAGTCTCCTAAGAAATAGAAGAAAAAAATATTATTAATTCGCTTGAAAAATCTAATATTAGGATAGAAGAGGCAACAAGTGTTTTTGTATAAATCCTTTCATTTGAGAAATCAAATTTAATATCTGTAACCTGTGTACTAAACAAATATGAATTTCAATAGGATTTTATATTGTCTTAAATTATCTATTTAAAAAAGGCAATACGTTATTAAGAACGTCAAATTCATCATTTTGCCCTGGTAATTTTCTTTTTCACAAACTCAAAGGGGCGCCGTATTCCCTTGTTAGAAACGAAAAATTATTAGAATTTTCCATAAAAATCGCTTCTGGACTAGAGACGAAATTTATTGCGAGGCATGTCGGATTCACAACACGGCCCTTAAAATGGGTAGCTAAAAATTTGACTATCTTTAAAAATGTTCCGGATTTTTGAATAAAATGTAAGAAATCAACACTTTTAAAGTTACAATAAAAACAACATCTTTCCCATTATTGATAATTAAAGGTTTAAAAGGGTACTCTTGTGAATTGGACTTGCCACTCTTTCAACGAAGGAAATTACGTCTAGTCTCAATTTAAGAAATCCTATTCGACATTTGTCATTATTCAATGTTAATCTGAGATATCTAACTATCAATCATGAGATTAATTAAGAACTGGAAGATCAAAATTAGCTTTAAATGTCAATATAAATTGCACAAAGGCTCCTTAATCAATCAATCAATCAATCAATCAATCATCTGATTTTGTCCAAATCAAGCTCTCTTCAAATTTAATACAAATCTATCAATCACTTAATAATTGAAAGCTCTCCATGACAATATTCTCTAGATCAGCTTTACAAATGACATAATCGGAGACATTTTTTTTCTGGATTTATTTTTCACTATGGTCAATTTATGTATAACTTTAACCGCTAGGTTAGGATATTCAGGAAATCATAATAAATACCTTGAGATCATGTACATTAAGCTTGTAGAGTAGGTTTCTGCCCCCGACTAGAAAACTATCTCCATCTCTAAGAACAACTGAGAAATAGTCCTGGCTAGTTTTATTCCCACGGAACACGGAGTAATCAAACCTCTCCCTAGAAGCCATACACTTAGATCAATCTAGATTAACTTTGAACTTATAAACAGTTTATTTTATATTACAAAATACAAAGGGAATTTCAAGTGCCCCTATCACTATAGTTTCAGTAGAAGTGAATATTTCCATTAACTGTTAGGGCCAAATAAAGGATTAATTGGATAATGAGATAAGTAGAAAGAAAGATGTTACCACCATATAATTTCTATTGGTTCAGAATAGACAGCAAACACACGGCTAAACCCTGATAGGATCAGGCGCTAATGGAATCGGCATACAAGTGTGCTATATAAAGTGTTGTGTCCGATTCACAATGGTACTCTTCAAGTGAGACAAATTTATCAAAGGAAACTCTTGGTAAGACAAGGGGAGAATGAATGTAAGGGTGAGAATTAAATTAAAATTCCTAAATCATCCTGAGCTAGGGTGGATTCGTCGATGTTCAAGAAGGAATGTGAAATTGGATTTCAGGGGCATCCCTCTTCTAAATAATTCCTTCAAACTCTTTTTTTTAAATCAATAAAAATAGAAAACTGTTTTTCATCATTACTACTCAGAATGTTTTCCAGCGAAACTTAATATTTCCATAAAACTCTTAATTTTTCAAAATCCATATATCTTTGAAACTTTTTTAACTTTACCCATTTTATCTAGCAGAATTCATAGTTTGACATTTCAAATGTCTACGACATCAGATTGCAAAGATATAAGATCTAAAAATAACTAAAATTAGTTCCATTCCTTTAGAAAAAAAAGGCTATACGAATAGAAACCCATCTTGCAAGTCTGGAAGACTATACACCCCTGCCAAGTCTGGGAGAATAAACACCCCTGTCTGAAAGTCTGGGAGAATCTACACCCCGGCTTGAAAGTCATGGAGAATATACACCCCTGCTTAAAAGTCTGGAAGAATAAATACCCCTGCCAAGTCTGGGAGTATAAACACCCCTGTCTGCAAGTCCGGGAGAATAAACACCCCAACCTGAAAGTCATAGAGAATATACGCTCCTGCTTTAAAGTCTGGGACAATGTACACCCCTGACTACAAGTCTGGGAGAATAAACACCCATGTCTGAAAGTCTGGTAGAATAAACACCCCTGCCTGAAAGTCTGGGAGAATATATACCCCAGCCTGAAAGTCGTGGAGAACATACATCCCTGCTTAAAAGTCTGAGAGAATATTCACCCCTGCCTAAAAGTTTGGGAGAATATACACCCCTGCATTAAAGTCTGGGAGAATATACACCCCTGCATTAAAAGAATAAAGACCCATGCATTAACGTCTGGGAGAGTATGCACCCCTGTAGGAAAGTCTGGGAGGACTACACCCCTGCATTAAAGTCTGGGAGAATATACAGTCCTGCATTCGAGTCTGGGAGATCATACACCCCTGTCTGAAAGTCTTTGAGAATATAAACCCCTGCATTAACGTCTGGGGGATTATACACCCCTGTCTGAAAGTCAGGGAGAATGTACACCCCTGTATTTAAGTCTGAGAGAATGTACACCCCTGAAGGAATAAAATAATTATTTGGAGACCAGGGATAGAGACAGGACGTGATCTTAATATCCTTGCTTCCATCAAATTTCCATATTTTACCGACAGCAGGAAAATATTTTCTTTTATAAAATTGAAAGAAAATGGTGAGAGACAACCAACTTATTTGAATGGAATATCACAAATTGGAATCAACGAAAGTTTTGGTCGTACAAGGAATGTAATATCCGCCATCTTCTATATAAACATTCAATTGTTGCATAAATCTAACAGCATTTTATCTTCGATTTACAATTTTTTTTGTGCATTTTCAAAATAACGAAAATAAAATTTTTTGAAGACAATTTTATATAATTCGAATCATCCATAAACCTTCCCTGGGGTCATGTGAGGTCGTACAAAAAATTTGGATCCGACCGTTTCGACGTTTATCGGTTAGACAAATCTGAGCTGGTAACTCTTATATTGTGGATATCGAGATCAATGGTTGATCTTGATCTTGTGCAGATTAACTTAATTTTTATTTGATATCCCGCATGGTAGTCTTACCCAGTAATAGGTATCAGGGGTGGTATAACTGAAATAAAGAGATTAGGCATTGATCCTCCGGTTTAAAGTGCTCATGGCGAATTTCAAAATCAAGCGAGTACTCAACACAAAGTTCCCAGCTGAGACGATATTCCGAAAATCGGTTGATATTAACAATATTGTCAGACTATGAAGGTAATCCGTGTCCAGGTTCCAAATCCAAATTCAGCTTATGTTTTTTTACTATTTGGTAGACTAAATATTATTTAGTCTACCAAAAAAAATGTTTAAAATTGTTTTCTTTATTTACCAATTCTAAATTTTCTTTGTATAGAAATGTACGTCTTCTTTATATCTTATTAGGTGTCACTTTATATAAGTGTTTTTAAAGCAAAAATTGAAATGTTTTTGTTGATTTTTAGCTACTTGAATCCAGCACAGAAAGACGGTAAAGGGAGAAAACTTGACTTTTAAAGAGAAATTTGAAATTTAAATTTTTTAAATATTTCCCCGAATTCTCAGATATTTCAATACTAGAGTTTAAATTGTTAATAACCCTCAATTAATTATGAACAATAACTTTCAATAGAATTTCCAATTTTCCGATAAGACAAATTTACAATTGAAAGGTTGAGATATGGGGTATTCCAGACTTGGAACAATGTTAGTTCTCGTGGCGTGTGTAAAAAGAAAGAGAGGGAATGAACTTATCATCAGTATTTTACAAAAGAGTCACACTAAACACTTAATTTTAGTTTTTAATTTTTGTAGTTTAAATGCGAAAATATGAACAATATCTAAAAATCACTACAGAAGTCAGACTTTAGATTCACGAGAAATATGCTTTATATTCTAATATTTTGTCCAATCTAAAATTCATTGGTTGTTCCTTTCAATTCTAACAATGAATGCAAATGTGCTCTCTAGTTTGATCGGCTTGGCTTGCAGGAAGTTTGACAAATTTCAAAATTGAATGTTTAAACGTATAAAATCTGCATCTAACAGTAACAAAGTCAATAAAATCTTCCTCATTTAGTATCACAGTCCATAAAATCTGCCAAATAGTATCTCAATTCTCAGTCCATAAAATCTGTCACATATAGTATCTCAGTCCATAAATTCTGTCGCATATAGTATCTCAGTCCATAAAATCTGTCACATATAGTTTCTCAGTCCATGGAATCTGCAACATATAGTATCTCAGTCCATGGAATCTGCCACATATAGTATCTCAGTCCATGGAATCTGCAACATATAGTTTCTCAGTCCATGGAATCTGCAACATATAGTATCTCAGTCCATGGAATCTGCCACATATAGTATCTAAGTCCATAAAATTTGTCACATATAGTATCTCAATCCATAAAATCTGTCACACATAGTATCTCAGTCCATAAAATCTGCAACATAAAGTATTGTTGTTTATGCAATGCCACAAAGTGAAGTCTTAAACCTGCGATTCAATCTCTAAATGAACCTCTGCACTATGTCAAAATGTTGACTAGAATTAAATAAAATTCTAACCTAATAGATACCAATCTAAAAGTAATGGAGTCTGACAGAGATGAGACAGATTTAGGCTTCTAAGATTAGTCTCAATATGTTTTCTTCCATTTCTATTCAACCAATTCAATAATTGATTTTCCACCAAGAAAATGTTTTCATTCTCTTTCTCTCTCTCCACCTGTCAGACAATATTTACATCTTTTATACTTCTATTGCAAGAAACTTACTTCATTCAACAAGATAAATCATTCAATTTTGGAAAAACTAAAATAACAGAGAAATGATAACAAAAAGAGCACAAATCCAAAAAAAATGTTTTCAGGAAACCTACATTAATTTGGTGACATGAGCTTTAACACATATTTTACAGGGGTGTTTATTTTCATAAATAAAGTACAGATGAGAAAGTAAAAATTTACTTTTGTGACAAATCTTTTCCCAGGGCAACATAATCCCCCCCCCCAAAAAAAATCAAATAAATTAAGGTCTCTAGGGCAATATTTTGCCCCTGTTAAATCGTGAAACTTTCACCCCACAGTGTTAAACTGTGTAATTCTATACAATACGACCCCCTGCTTACATGCACTATATGCAGACACACAATGTGATAAAACTTTAAAAGATAACTTGAATTTGTAACTCTATAGGGATTAAATTATGATATTAACAAATGAATGGGACCAACACAATGGATTTAGACATAAGATAGAAAATATATTCTGGTTCCTTTCTTAAACAGGACCAGAAAATAACGCTGCCTATACTGAACTTAAAAGGAGAAAACAATTTAAAACTGTACTTAATCTAAGTTTCTGCTGCTTTTACTTTGCCTGCTGTAGATGCAAAGGTCTAGTTGTGTATCTAAATTTACTGCAGCAGTATCTAATACCATAAAACACTGTGAGAACCTCTTCTATTAATTTCACTCAGGGAATCTAAAGCCAGAAACTTGATGCAAAAAATGCATTTAGTTTATCCATAAATATAATTAAATGAAACCATTCAACCCTTTCCAAGTTGAAGTCTAAACTGCAATTTTGAAAACTTTAATCTAAACATATTTCTTTTCTTTACTTCCTCGGAATCAAGAGAAAATACTTGTTAGAATTTATATTATATTGCTAAAAATTTCAAAAAATTCACAATTTCTCAAAATATAACCTTAAATTTCTTTTTAGAAAATCCTCTTAATCAGAATATGATTTAATTTTGAGGATTTTGAACCGTGAGAATCCTTTAATCTTGCATATGAGAATGAAATTAAGTTTAGTTGAGAGAGATCCAAGTTATAATTAATTATGTGCATTCTGCGCACATAAACTTGTACTTAGAGAGTTAAACTATTGGGGGGTAAAATATCAAATACTAGGCTAGAGGGGTGCTTCGCGACCTTTTTTAAATTCAGCATGTAAATTTTGCTTATGTAGTCGGCCATTTTTTTTCAATGAAAAAAATATGAATTTTTCTGTTTGAATTAGTGTATTTTTAAAAGTAATATATTTAGCAACCAGCTATAAATCTTCCTGGGTGTCTTATGACTTGCCAGGAAGAAGTTAGGCTCTATCGGTTCAGCTGGGTTAATGGTTAATTGATGTTAACATACAGTCAGACAAGCCAAATATTTATTATTTAAGAAGGTGAAGGATGGTGGAAGGTGCTCTCTAATTTGGTTTACTTCAAAAGCTCAAGGATTGATCAGTAAATTTTGACTTGTCCAGTGTTTAAACTTTTAAATAATCTTCAAACTAATGTTTTAAAAGCTGGCAACATGTGTCAAAACCAAGTAACAAACGAGTACTGAACAAGATGTATGTTTTCCTCCTAAGAACTTTCGTTTTTCATTAATTTAAAGTGTCCATCAAATCAATTAAAAAAACAGATAATAGCAAAGAAAACAAGATGTAAAATGACACCAACTAAGGACAAGCTACTCAATTAAAAAAAAAAACAGATAATAGCAAAGAAAACAAGAAGTAAAATGACACTACCTCAAGACTAGCTACTCAATTAAAGAAAACAGATAATAGCAAAGAAAACAAGAAGTAAAATGACACTACCTCAAGACTAACTACTCAATTAAAAAAACAGATAATAGCAAAGAAAACAAGAAGTAAAATGACACTACCTTAGAACTAGCTACTCAATTAAAAAAAGAAATAGATAATAGCAAAGATAACAAGAAATAAAATGACACTACCTTAGGACTAGCTACTCAATTAAAAAGACAGATAATAGCAAAGAAAACAAGAAGTAAAATGAAACTACCTCAGGACTAGCTACTCAATTATAAAAACAGGTAATAGCAAAGAAAACAAGAAGTAAAATGACACTACCTTAGGACTAGGTACTAAATTAAAAAACAGATAATAGCAGAAAAAACAAGATGTAAAATGACACTACCCTAGGACTAGCTACTCAATTAAAAAGACAGATAATAGCAAAGAAAACAAGAAGTAAAATGACACTACCTCAGAACTAGGTACTCAATTAAAAACAGATAATAGAAGAGAAAACAAGAAGTAAAATGACACTACCCCAGGACTAACTACTCAATTAAAAAGACAGATAATAGCAAAGAAAACAAGAAGTAAAATGACACTACCTCAGAACTAGGTACTCAATTAAAAACAGATAATAGAAGAGAAAACAAGAAGTAAAATGACACTACCCCAGGACTAACTACTCTATTAAAAAGACAGATAATAGCAAAGAAAACAAGAAGTAAAATGACACTACCCCAGAACTAACTACTTAATTAAAAGTTAACAGATAATGTAATAAATGTTAAGTTGCTTGAGCTTCAGGGAAAACAAAAAATTAGTTTCCTAGTTTTAATTATCTTTATAAGTAGAACTATTTACGACTTTCTGAAAAAAATGTGTTTAATACAAATTATTATTATGTAGAAAAAGAGTTGGAATGATATACCAACTCTAATATATAATGACCTACCACTCTAAAATACTCTTAACAATAATACAAACTGAAGACTTAATATTAAGGTTGCAGAAACGATTTCCAACCGTACCCTTTAAAACTTCATCAGAATAACAAGGAGGCAGCTTTTGTTCTTTGTCTCTGCAGAATAAACCGCATGTCTCTTTTACAAAGAAACTAACAATAATAGAAAATGAAAAAGAATTTAGCTTGAAAGACAAGGATTTAAGAAAAAGGTTAAAAGAACAAGCCTCTCTGTATACATAAAGGAAAACTTGAAATTACGCTTACAGTTCCTTAAGTGTACTGCAGTGTACTGTTGAGTAGAAGTGTATGCCTAGGTTGAAGATACAGTCTAGGAGATTTATTTTCCTGCCACCCGGTCAGCACACACTCAACCCACACAGCCAGGTATACAACCCTAAACAATTAGTGAATGAGTTGATGGTTGATGAGTGATAAGTTGATGAGATGATGAGATAATGAGATGACGAGTTGGTGAGATGACGAGTTGGTGAGTTGACGAATTGGTGAGCTGGTGAGTTGGTGAGTTGATGGGTGATAAGTTGATGAGTTGATGAAAGGTAGAGTGATGACTTGATGAGTTGATGACCAAATGAATAAATGAACAAATGAACAAATGAACAAATGAACAGATGAACAAATAAACAAATAAACAAACGAGCAAACAAACAAACGAACAAACGAACATATGAACAAATGAACAAATGAATAAGAGAACAAACGCACAAACGAACAAAATAATAAAATAATGTACGAACAAATAAATGAAGTAATTAAGAAATTCTCATCTAAGAAGAAGTTTGTATGATGGTTTTATCAAATCATCAAAATGCTGTCTAAAATGATTATTGACATTGTTAAATTATGATGCTACATGATTCACAAAAATAACACAAAATTTCCAAAAAGCATCAAAAAACGAGATAAGTCAGTAATGTTAGGAGAAAGTATATGCTGATCAAAAACAAAAGTAATCTACCAATCCCTCTCCATTTACAGTTTAGATAAACAAGTTTTTCTTTTCAAAAAGTTTAAAATTTCCCACGCTCACGGAAAGTTTTGTAGAAAAAAAACATACATATTTATTTACTGCTTAGAGGTGAACCTTTCATAATTACACTATTAACCAGATTCAGTTTTCAATTCTCAAAATGTTGTTGATTTTTGAGTAAGAAAATCGTATGACAGATTAAAAATCATTTATATTTATCTGTATTTGTAATCAGAGACGGATCGTTTTCATTTTTTGAACAATAATCGTTTCGTTTCGTTTCGTTTTAAAAACGACGGAGAAAAAACGAAACAGACGATTTTAAAAACGGTAGTTTTTAAAATCAAAAAATAAAGTTTAGTTTTAGTTCGTCGTTATGTTTACGAAGGAAGGTAGGTCGTGTTTAATTTGACGATCGTTAACCCTTCGTTAACAACATTTTTGAGACAAAATACTCTTAGGTCGGAAAACCTTACACCGAAAAAATTCACGTTATTAACATTTTTGACAACATTCATAAACTTATCTTCTTGAAAAAAAGTTTAAATTAATTGTCGTAAAACTCAGATTCATCAGTTAAATTTTTTTGTCTTTAAAAAGTTCAAAACGAGCGATTCGTTTGTTGTGACCCATCGTTTTTTCCTTAAAAAAATCAAAACGATAAAAACCGAATAGCGAAACGAAAAAGGATCTTTTTCGATTGTTTTTTTTTTTTAACAATTATTGGTAATTTTTAGCGAATATTTGTATTTAATGGTTGATAAAGAAATCATGCACGGCTTAAAGAAAATAAATTCATAAAAGTTTCTCATTTTGATTTTTAGATGTTGGTCATAAAAAACAATTTACACTTAAATAAATTTTCTTTAAAAAAAAGTTTTTTTCCAATTAAAAAAAAGTCTGATAATAGATAAGGCAGGAAAATTAAAAAGAATAAAATAAACTCAAAAAAATCTATCGTTTGAAAACAGATCCAGAAACCATAAACCTAATGGAAATCATACTTAATATTAAGTTTGTTAAGAATAAGGATCATATTAAAAAAGTAAATTACCAAATAATCATGGTCCAATTAAGATTGATAACCAGGATATGTATCACAGTGAAGAGGGGGCCAGTATGGAGCCCCACAGCAGCCAGTCTTTGTTAGATTTTTGCATTCTTATCACAATTCACAATTTCACCATTTTCCACCAAAGTTAAGAATTCTAAACATCCTTGTCTTAACGCTAATACTGCTAGGCTACACCTTGTTCAAGAAAAGGGGTCCTTGTATTTGAGGTAAATAACCCCTCTGATGTCTGAGTATGTCTGTTGTACCCCCTCCCTGGGAATACTAACTCACAACTTCGATTTTCCGAGGAGCAGACTCATATACCTAGGCTTTCCTGTCCAAACACACACACTCTGGCTAGAATTCCATATCAGCCTGAAATCCAATAAATCCGCAATGTATTACTGTACGCCATGTTTTTCGGATATTGTAAGTTGAATATTTGGTGGATTTTCTCCGTTGAGTCTCCGCTATTTCAGGCTCTGTTTGGGGTGGAGTACACAAGTATGGGCTGATAGTTGAGACAGGGAGGCTCTTCTATAGAGTCCAACAACATACACGGTTACGGATTGTTAACTTGATGCTAGCAGCTGGGATAATTTTTATTACATCATATCTAAAAAAATACAGACACAGGTTTACACTAGAATTTAAACACAATACAATGAGAAAAACGAGGAGAATTTACGATAGAAAAGCTAGAAAATGTTTCCGTTATCTCGATACAAATCTTACACTTTCCCTTTCAGTACAAATAAGGGGCGTGTCATGGACCATGTGTGTATGTGTGAGATCTCAACCCTTTAGCACGCATGCTTGCCCGTAACATCAGCAGTCTGTCTGTTTCTGCTGGAATTGAATTCGTCTCCTGAAATAGGAATTTATTAAAAATTAAACAATTAGTTTATTTCATATTTAAAAGCATAATCTAAATAAAAGCACAGCTTTACTAGACATACAAATGGAATACAAAAGTAAAAAGATAAGAAAAGGAAGAAAGAAAGAGAACAAAAATGGGAGGGGGGGGGATGATTTGGGGAAAAAAATATTAAAAAAATTGAGCATCAAACCAAAAAATCTTTCATTTTTCCCTCAAAATAATTAAGTTTTCCTATTTTCCGGAATAAATTGCGCCGATACAAAGAAAA